CCCCCATCCACTCCTAGTACCTCACCAAACCTTGATGCCAAAGAAAGCAGGTGGTTGGGATACAATCCGAGGTGATAAACTCCTTGGATCTTGGACGTTTGTGGTCATGAATCTGCACCCGTTCAGTTAAGAAGCGAGTCTTAAATCGATAGACAGCCTTAAAGAAGTTCATGCGAACCTCGTCCACACAAGTCCCTAAATTCTGATTTCTAGATCATATGTCAGTGTTAATGATAAAACTTCACCTTTGACTTCTCGTACCCTCCGTATTTCTAAAAGTTCGTTCATTTGTCCCTATCATTTTTGTGATAAATCGATTCACCAGCTACTCCTGCTTTCTTCAGAATACCATTACCACCACCGTGGGGCCTCACTTCAAAACAAATTATAATGTGTTACATGTTTGCCAACAGGTTGGACCATGGTATTCAAGGTAGTGGCCGGTGTTGAAGCTGATATCTCTCTTCTGTGGTCATCTACTGACACTTTAAACGAAAACAAAACAGAATTATTGAATACCACTTCAACGCCCAAAGAAAATTACAAGAACCGCTTGGTCAGGGAATGGCAGACCTTAGGACTCAAGGAGGTGAGAAAATTACAAACAACTTTCACCGACCATCATATGATAATGATGATAATTATTCCCATAATTGTCACTGTCCTCGTTGTTATCATGAGCATCATTAGCTTTATCACCGTCGTTCTTATCATCAACAGCAACATCATCATCGTTTTCTTTATCAGCAACATCATCAGCGTTATCTTTATCATCCTCCTCAGAGTCATTGAGCTCGTTATTGTCGTTGTCACGGTTATAGCCATTGATGTTGTTATCATCGTCCGCATTATGTTGTCGTCATTCTGTCGTTGTGAGAAAGAAAATTTCAGTTGAGTGTTGAACAACCAAAACTAAAGTGAAAATACTTCAGCAGCCAATACGAACCCGAGTAAAAACAAGTAAACTGCCGGAAGAGTGGCTGAACGAGATTGATCAAGTCGTAATTTGTTTTAGTTTTGCATCTAATGGCACGCGATTTTTATACCAATGCAGAGCGAAGCAAACCAAAACAAAATGAAATCCCAGATTACTTTCTACAGTGTACATTAGATTAAAAAAATTTTCTCTGAGTTGGTTTCTTTCTCACTAATTTTGTTTAAACGTAACTTCAGGCGCGGGTTGTTCTCTACCAAAACAATTCTGAAGTTCTATCCATCACGTTCAACGCAACTGGGACCAACAACATCAACTGGTTTGCCATGAATCAGGTGATTGAATCGCCATGGACTGAACTGGCTAGTGAACCGCGAAACATCTTCTCTAATGTTGGTCGAAATGATTCCGATGGCAGAACTTTTCACATAAACAGGAATTATGGGGGATGTAATAATGATGCAGGGTGGCTCTTGGTGACTGAGGGTAAACCATGTGAATACGATGGGAAGTTTTCACCAATAGTGATCTATTATAGCAAATTCGATAACTACACGAACTGGAATTCTCAAGGTAAAGAAATAACTATAAGTTTTGATTTGTAAGTTGGAGTAGAAATAATTGAACGTGACTACATCATTTTAAGGAATGTTACCTGTCAATTCGTGTACCAACGAGGGATGGAAGTGCGGAACTAATCTGAATCATTATTTTTAATTGTGTTTCATTTCCTATTGCAGGGGATATGACGGTTATACCACACTTTCTAACGTACACCACTGTCATCTTTATATACACACTCGCCTAAAGACTAGTCTTCATATTGAGAAAATACTACTTAATCGAGGATTATCCAAAGCCATATAATTCGCCGTGAAGTTTGCAAATCTTATGTTTTCTGTTACCTCACCCTCTATCTTGTGAGAAATTTGCAATTTATTATTTTCATTGAAACTGTTCAAATTTTCGCCTGTTGTGTCTTGTCTTGTAGCCGATGCGGGTAAACAGAAAATTACTCTGTATCAACCCAACAGCAGCACGATGTGGAATTACTCTTTTTGCTTGACTATAATGGCAAAAGCGAGTTAGTAAATATGTTTATGAACAACAGAAATTAGTCATTAACTTTTTAGATGATTCAAATTAATTTTTAACATTTCTGTAACATACATTGTAACTGTATGTAACTGAAATTAACCCACCGTTCGCAGTGAAATGGCCAAAGTTTTAAGCGTTACATTTAAAAGCCATCATCCCATTCAGAACCTCTATGTTTAACACCATATATAGTTCACTGTGATTCATACAATATTGAAGGATTCTTAATTCCATGTCTCGACATCTTTCACTGACACAGAGTCCCTTTTTTTCTTAGAGACTGTTGGCACAGCTGATTTCCTGGTGGTTTTCGTTCGTTGATCCAAAGAGCCAAAAGGAGATGGACATAAATGATCATAAATTGTTTCGCAGATAACTCTTTGGCACTCCATTACTCAACAAACTATTTTATGAGCTGTACATAATTACTGACTTCCTGTTATGAGCAGGCCAGTGAATGAGCTGAAAAAGCAATTTTTTAACCGAGTTTCGTGAAATTTTTCACGAAAGTCATTGCCAAAGTCAGACATTTACTGTTTACCCGTTCCCTTATTACTTACTTATTTCATATCCGCATTAAATTTCCTGTAAAGATGTACCAGTCAATTAAATAGCACAATGTTTCCTATAGCTAGCAGAGGGAATGCGAAATTGCATGCGACCGAGCAAAACTGAACTTAATTTCAAGAGGATTCCTTTGTCCATCTGTACAAATTGTGCATTTCAAGTTGAAGAATATTTCACAGCGTTGGAAATTTCTCAGAAAATCTGCTCGTAACGAAGTTAAAGTGATAGTATTATTTTCCCTTGAGTAAGTGTCAACATTTACTTTGAGACGTCCCATAGCTGTCTTTGTTAGTTGGCACCCTTTCTTTCTTTTTCCTTTTGTTTTCTGTTTTCTAAATTGACACTGTTAAGCTTTTGATTTGTCTTAATTTAAACAAAACATTGTACGCATGTGAATGAATTGTAGAAACATTTTAAACAATGACCCTCAACCTCAGAAAAAAATAGCAAAGAACCGAATCCCTAAGGCGTGGCCGCACTGTCTGAAACTAGTCATTCGTAATGCTCAAAGGAAAATAATGAAACAGCGCACAGAGCATCAAGAGAGATAAGGATTCTTGAATGTAAAAAAAAATCGGTCAGTAGATTTCGAAAGAAAGAATTTATAGTACTTCTCATGCATTCTAATTAGAAAGCAATTATCTTCATTTTGGCTCATTAAAAATAGAAAATGTTAACTATCCTTTTTTGTTCTTGTTAGCCTTGAAAAGGCACGTTCTCTCCTTACAAAAACTGTTAGTGAGCAATCATCCAATTTGTAGAAGTATTAAACTGTATAAAGTGTGTTAATGCATCATACAGAGATTGTTGATAGCCACAATACTTTCTATATGTATAGTGAGGAAGTTATTTCATTATTAAACAGACAAGACTTAACAACGATTCTGAAAGAGGGGGAACATTTTACCTTGCGCTTCAGCTTTATGAGACGGTACATTTATCTACCTTTATATCCAATATTCATTTTCTTAAAAATCACTTAAAAATCAATTTGACCCTGACACGGATTATAAAAACCACTATCTTTTACTAATGACTCATTCTGTTTATGAGATTTTCAAAGGTTGCTATTCTATGGGTAAAATATTTTAAACACCATAAATTTATAATTCTCAAAGGTGGTTAAAAAACGGAGTGTTCTTTCGATTAAAACTGACAATCGCCGACGAGTCGTTACGACACCAACACTTACCTTTGGACAAAGATTTGAACATTGCCCTTCACAGATGCGTCATATTCACTGTTGGAAATCAGTTATTTGTTCACTGGTCATGAGCTATTAATTGTTGTATTCAAAACAAAACTATTCTTTGGAGAAAAGTGATCAGTCAAACGTGCGTAATTAGAGAATATTCTTCACCGGACGACTTCTTTTCTGTAGAGATGAAGCTGGATAATGTCGCCAAGAGTTACAATTGTCTCGTCTTTGTTTTATATCCTATTCTTTTTTAAAAGTGTCTAGTCTTGTCAAACTTGACGGAAATCAAGTCTATCTCGCAATCATGCAGCTCTCGAAGTTCCTACGGACCTCGTTCACGCAATTCCTTAAATTCTAATCTCTAGATCTTGTGTCAGTGTTAACAAATCTTCACCTTTGACATCTCGTACCCTCCTTATTTCTTAAAGTTAGTTCGTTTGTCCCCATAGTTTTTGTGTTAACTCGATTCACTAACTGCTCCTGTTGATGAGCCTGTAACATCCTCTCTAATGTTGGTCTAGACGATCGCCGAGGTAGATCTTTTCACTTAAAATAGAATTATGGGGGATGTAGTAACGATGCAGGGTGGCTCTTGGTGACAGAGGGTGTACCATGTGAATACAAATAGGAGCTTTCACCTATAGGGATCTTTTATTGCAAACTCCATGAGTACACGAAGTGGAATTTACCTGATAAAGAAATAACTATCGGTTTTGATTTGTAAGTTGGAGGTGAAATGATTCAACGCGACTATATCTCAGGATTTTTTAATTTTTGAGTTAAATACCCTGCCCTCCGCCTTCACCAGGAGTATAACTGGGTACTGGCGAGTTATCAGGGAACCTTGCGATTGAGAGATATGCCATCGTGGTAAGGGGGGGGGGGAATGCATTGTATCCACATTTATTTGTTTCTCAGTTCACGAGGGGGTGGCATTTTACAAATCCTGCTATCGGACTGGTTCAGAGCGCGGGAAGTATCATCCCATACGGCCCGCTCTAAGCGGGCGGTATCCGTTTAGTGTTCAGTCACTCTGCACAACATCTGTAGCTTCGTTGCAATTTCTTTTAAAAATATCTTGTTTTGCCGGCTGGACAGGATCATTGAGCAGAGACTTCGGTCACGACCTTTAGCCGATAAATAACATTAATTCTCTCTTTCTCAAATCACTTACATTTTCCGCAAAAAGTGATTTCGAAATAAAATTTTGTGGTACTTAATTGTTTTTTTAAAAGACTGACACGCGGCCTACAAACCATTTATAATTTAATCATCTTTCCCAAAAAGTAACTCAGAAAGTTATAAGGAGAGGTAATTGCAGTTAATATTTACTTTAATGACTCTCATTCAATGAATATCTGAATTCTCCAAAACAATTTGTTCGTTTGTGAAACGTTCAGCGAAGTTTTGAGATCTTCTATAAATCTGATTTCGCTAAATCTTTGCAATTCCTTTGAATTTGAACATTTCTACCTTAAATTTCACGGAAACTGAAGTAATACTATGAGCGAAAGTCGCATTAAATACCCCTCCAGGTTGTGTTAAGCTAGAAAGAGCGTCTCATTTGACGTCAATTTTTCGTTCGGTGGAAGAAAGACAAGATTTTCGGGTAGTCTCTCATATACCGGGTTCTGAAATAACCAATAATTGACATATAAATATAGCAGAAGGGTAAAGTGAGGGGGTAAAGAGAACTAGTGGAACAATAGATACTGAGGGCATGTACGAAAATCTGGAACACCGGACCATCATGGAACACCGGAATACTCCCAGAACACCGAATTTGACGGTGTAAAAAATTAAAACGTAGATGTAATCTGTTTACCCACGTAACACGAAAGAGCTTAGTAGCAGGCTCTAAATATCTAGTTTCTTAATGTTTCATATCCTATTTCTTTGTGATATAAATAAATGTTGTTGTTGGTCCGGTGTTCCGGGGTGTTCCGATTTCCTGGTTTTAGTACATGCCGATACTGAGGACCAAAGGAACATATGGCACAGAGAATCAATGGTGAGTGGAAAAGTCGGAACAGAGGATCAGTGGATAAGTGAATCAGTGAATCAGTGAACAGTAGGCACAGAGGACCAGAGGAACAGTGAACATAGTGGCAAAATGAGTACCGAAGACCAGTGGAGCAGTGGGCACAGTGGACCAATGGCAAAATGAGTACAGAGGACCAGTGGCAACATGAATACAGAGGATCAGTGGAACGGTGGGCACAGAGGACCAGTGGGCACAGAGGGCATTACTAAAACCAGGAACACCAGAACACCGGAACACCGGAACACCAGAATACCAGAACATCAAGGAACAACAGAACACCGGAACACCACGGAACAGCGGAAAACCACGGAACATCCCCGGAACACCGCATTTGACGGTGTAAAACAATAAAATGTAGATGTAATTTGTTTAACACGTAACACGAAAGAGCTCAGAAGCAGGCGCTAAATATGTTGTTTCTTAATGTTTCTTATCTTATTTCTTAGTGGTATAAATAAATGTTGTTGTTGTTGACGTTCTAGCTTTTAAAGAGATAATTAAGTTTTTCTAATTACAAGCTGTTGTTCAGTACAAAGGTAGAACCGCAATGCACAGTTTGATACTAATAGTTACGTACTGGCCGGTTACAACTTATCGACCTTTTTCGTTTGGTCTTTGTTTAGCCATTACAGACCGCGTGATAATCTCTGGAGAAAAAAAAATCCATTTGTATTCACGCGACTATCTGAAAGTTTCTCAAGACTATGATCACATAGGGAGAGCTGCAGTGGTGAAATGGCACTCTCCAGTGTGACCCGGGTTCGCTACCCGGACCCACCGTCATTTAAAGGTAGAGTTTGTTGTTTGTTTTTCTCTAGGTTCTCCGGTTTTCCTCCCTCCATAAAAACCAACACTTCTAAATTCAAATTCGATGTCATACACGAACACCTTATAACGAGCTCTAAGCTCTTTCGTTCTACGGGGGGTAAACAAAGTACATTTACATTTTATTTTTTACATGATCTGTAATGGGAAAACAAAACAACACCGTCAAATTCGGTGTTCCGGAGTGTTTCGGCTGTTCTGGTGTTCCGGGGTGTTCCTGGGTGTTCCTGTGTTCCGGTGTGTTCCGGGGTGTTCCGGTGTGTTCCGGTGTGTTCCGGCGTGTTCCGGCGTGTTCCGGTGTTCCGGGATGTTCCAGTGTTCCAATGTTCCTAAGTTTAGTACATGCCGGTACAGAGGACCAGAGGAATAGTGGGTACAGTGGACCAGTGGGCACAAAGAACAAGTAGAACAGGGGAACAGAGAACCAGAAGAACAGTGGGCACAGTGTACCAGAGAAACAGTGGGAACAGAGGATCAGTGGGTACAGAGGACCAGAGGGCACAAAGGAGCAGAGGTATAGTATTGATAACAAGGAAGCTGTAGCGGCTGTCGCTGTGGACTTGGGCAAAGCGTCTGACACCATAAACCATAGCCTTCTGCTTGCGGAGTTGAAGGCCTATGGCTTCTTTACACATGCCCTGGAACTGATGTTCACCTACCAGCTAGGTCGTCAACCATGTGTCAGATTAGATGGCGTATGCTCCAACTGCAAAACAGTTAAATCTGGCGTTCCTCAAAGTTCACTATTGGGCCCGTTGTTATTCAACATCTTCATCGATACATATGATGCACGATCCTCGCAGTAGATAGCGCTATTTAAGCAATAGCGAAAATCAGACCTGAAAAAAATCAGGCCTATACGGGATTCGAACCACTGACCTCTGCGATACTAGTGCAGCGCTCTACCAATTGAGCTAACAAGCCAACTGGAAGCAGGCCGTTAAGTTGATTCGTAATAAACCATATATTTCATATATTTATATTATTCATATAAACTTCATAAATTTCATTGTATCTGATTTATCACTTTCACGGGTTTATTACGAATCTACCTTCCTATAATCAA